TAAGAATAAGGACTAAAGTGTGGAAGGAAATGTAAGAATGTTTAGAGGAATTTAGCTGCACCTGGAAAGTAAATTAAAATAAATTTGTGCTTTGAACGGTTTTGTGTATAAATTGACGTATGTATTTGCGTGCCTAGCGCCAAATGTGACCCACTACTTAGCATAAAATCTTTTCAGGTGCAACGGTTGCTGCCCTACGCTAACGTCGCACGTACCTAAAAGTATCCTACATCTTCGGAGCATATTGCGTTCGAATTCTAATTGATTTTCGCTTCTCTTCTTTATTTTTATTTTTTTGACTTCTTTCCCCTACAAGTATTCTGTTCTTCAGACATTTCAGCAGTCAAGCGTGCTTTTAGGCGCACGGCTTTGAAATTTCACAGCTTTTGTGGAGTAGATTCTGCTGCTTGTGACACTGCGTAGCAAAAAAAAGAACAAAGACTCAACCATGGTCATTTCCACTGCGCGACCACAATGGATTTTCGTGGTTTGCATTGACGCGCTCCGCTGAGTCGCTGTTGTTGCATGTTTTTGAGCGCTGAGTGGCGCGCATCAAGCCACATATATACATATGTACATACGCACTTGCGCTTGTACTTGCACATGTGTAGCCAACAATGTAGTTCACCGGAAATGCGAAGCAATTATTTTACCAATTCACCAACAACTGACCGACCACCTCTTTTGTGGCCTTCCGCACCGCGCTACGCCCCTCTGTCGCTGCTGCAGCACTCTTATTTGCTTTTCACGTATATATGTACAGTTGGACTCAAGTGCCACATGCCACAAAAAGTGTTGTTGATTTTTGTTTTTTTTTTTATTATTTTTGAAGCTCCTGCTAGCCCATGGCACTGCTGTTGTTGTTGCACATCTTTTTAGGTCATTTTCATTTTGAATATGCGTTGACAATTAAAAGAGTTCGCCTCCGCTGCGTTTTAGCCTTGTAAGAGCGGTGTGTAGGGCGAGAGGGCGGCTTAGGCTCGTTGTTGTTTTTTCGTTGTGCCGCTCTTTGGCTGACTGATGACGCTTGACGCTATGGTCGCTGCTGCTGGCGCGCTATTTCAGCCAACTGGCGTTCCGTTCGCTCAACCCGCTGCCACTGCACTGGGAGTACTTATGTGTGTGTGTGTGTGTGTGTGTAGTTGGCTGCTCGTCCTGTTGAAAGGAAATGAAAATTGTTTTATGCGGTTACGCCAACAAGTAAGCCACATGCGCTTCACTTTACATTATTATTGTTATTGTGTTAGTCATTTTCGTTGATTTTTAAAAATGTATGCATACAAACATGCATATTTATGCGAATAATAGCTGCATATATGTATGTACATATTGTGCAAGCAAATACTTAAAAACGCGCACAGCAAGAGGCAAAAACAAAATCGCTCACGGACGCACTTACACTCAGCCATTTACAAAAATGGCGGTTTACACATGTTACAAGCGAAATGAATGAATGATGAATGCAACCAAAACCACCTCTACTCTCTACCCTCTCCTCCGTCTACTACACCACTCGCCATTCTCCGTTAGTTTCTCTGTTTTCAGCGAACAATTTTTGTTTTTACTTAAGTGCTCATATGCAACGTATTTGCTGCATATTTTTTGGCGTTTGTCCGATAAGGTAAGTCGCTTTTATTGTCATCCACAGGCTGTGCGCACACTAGTGTACACACACACACACACACTCTTCAATCTCATAGCATGGTTTTGCATATGTTCACAAATGTTTTATCGCTCGATTAATGGATGTTAATTAAATGTTTAATGCGGTCAATAATATTTTTCGCTATGCTACCTGTGCTATCTCTGAGAGTGAAAGATAAGCGAAGCGGATATGCGGTGCATAAAAAAAAATACAGCAAATATGGTAACTGTATTAAAAAATATGTTTCATGTTGACAGCAATGGAATAAATGTTAACTAAATGCAATTGAAAGGACAAAAACGATATTGAAAATTAATTAATAATTGTTTCATATACATATATTTTTTTTTGGTAAGTTACTTAGCTGTGCCTTGAAAAAATTGATTGTAGAACGTATTAAAAATATATATTGAATTATCGTGTTCATGGTAAAAATTAGGTGTACCAACAATTGAGCTGTGATGAAAAAAACCTCACCTCCGAATACTGGCCTAAAAATATGCAAGCAAATCATATCAGCAGTGCCTATTATTATAATGGCAATTGCCTGCACTTCTCAAACAGCTTGTAGGGTAATTATAATAAGTTTAAAGTTTGAATCTCTAAGCATTGCTACATGGTCTATTCAGCAAATTCCTCCCTCAGAATCAGCTTCTCCGCGAACTGAAATGCTCGATATTTGGGAAAAGGTTCGCCTTACAAAAGACACGAAATCGACATTTTTACGAGGAGCCTAGCCCCAACAACATCAGTGTCTCTATCTCTATCGTCAATTATTTAGCCATTGTCTTGAAGCGGTTTGTTCTAGGTTAGGTGGACCCGTTGTGATACCAATTAGTAGCTCGAATTCGAACCCGTCCATTTACCTCCAAGTAGAACCAGTTGGTTAGGTCGGCCAGACAGACAAAGAGGCGGTGGTGAAATGAGCGTATTCTCGGCAGGACTGAGGCAGAGGTAGCGTTGCGCACCTCGATTTGGGCCGCGTCGCGGCAACGTCACCAGAAGTCATAGGCCGGTAAGCCGATTCTGCTTGCATGCCTTTCCATTAAGCAGTGGCACGTAATAATACCGGTTACCAGCCTTAGAAGAGGGTGCGCATGCCGCCCTTTCAACCTTGGTAAGTTTAGAAATAGTGAGTGACTTATCCGGTGATGTCCACCAGACTGTGACGCCGAGAATAATATAGGATGTACCACTGCTGTATAAATCCAGTGCACTATGTGGGTTCTGGGCCAATTTCTTGCCTATAGTCGTTTTGCAGGCGTAGAGGGCAGTAATGGCCTCCATCCATTTCGATCATAGTCCAGCACCCAAAGGGTATGTTTTTACTTATTTCCTAATTATACATACATTTTTGTTGATTATAATATTTCCTTTTTGCTCTTAACTCCAACACAAGTGTGTTTTTATCTTATCAAATTAACGAACTCGAATTTTACTTGAATAATTTTGCAGCATAATTTGCAATTCAAATAAAATTTTATTTGTGTTCAAGCATCAAAAACCCTTTCTAGAAATTTTCTAAAAGGACACACACACGGTTTCAAATACGTCACAAAAGTCAAATACAACTAAATAACCAAGTAAATATGAGGCCAACCGCATAAATGCCTATGTGTATATGTGTGTGTATATGTATCACCACAGAGTAAAATGCAAATGCCTTATATAATTAATTGTCTACTTTAAGGAGTTCGAACTGTGCGTTGTCCTTCAACTTGCCTTCGCATTGCGAGGACAGCTTTGTTGTTTCTTATTAACTACGACGGAGTCGAAGATTGTCATTTGCTTGTAAATTTTCTCGAAATTCTATGCTAATGAGCCAAACGAGACAAATTTCTTTGGTGTTTAGCGCCTAAATATATGCTAAAAAGCATTAATCGCGTTACGACCGCATCAAATTTGTATTTGTACTTGAAGTTGGGTGTGTTCACCGGCTATGGGCAGACGCATCAATTGATTTGCATTTTCAAATATCGAAAAGGATTTTTCCCAAGTCGCGCTGGTCCATTTGAGTGAAATCTTACGGCCATAGTCTTACTTCCTTAAAAGTTCTTCGTATAATTAATGCATTTTAATTATAAAGCCTCTGCAAATACGTCCGAGTACACAACAGAAACAACAATAATGAAATCGTCTTCATCACTTCACTGAATATTTGTCGAGTTTTCCTTATACTTTTCAAGTCTGCTTCAAATCATCTTTCGTTTAGCCGCATGCTTTCACCAGTCTACGCCTATTTAAGGGTTAATTGGTATGGTTTTCTTACGTTACTACCTTCGCCGTACTTCAGGGACCTTTGTTCTCTCTTGTTTGTGGCGTGAATCGCCTGTCCTGTCCTTAACATTAATTTCGCGTATTTAATTTGAGACTTATGCATATTTCTTTTCGTTAAAAAAATCTGCTTATCATATTGTTAGGCGCTTATTCAATTTGTGGTTGGCAATGCCTTATACCTGAAATTATGCAACAAATTATAGCGGGCTTTAATTAAGAAGAGAGTTTTATGGAATTTGTGTTATCACCGAAATTTTTTATCTAGTCACATAGGCTTGTATAAAATTAAAGGAGATGCAAAATACTCATCGGAATTTCTAGACGGGAATTCAGAGAGACAGGAACCACTGAAAATATTTTACAACGCCGCCGTTTTCAAAATTGTATAAACTGAAAAAAGGGACTTTCCAAAAGGGAGTACGCAGTGAGGTTCTGAAAATAGATACTTACACCAATGCTTTGTGCCCCTAACCGAATAAAAAGCGGTGGTACCTGAAAATATCTCATACTAATACGAAAGAATTGTAAAGGGAAATTAGTCGATCTGGTAAGTGATTTGGATGGTGCAAGCTTTTATGCGACCTTCTTTTGTTTCTATAAAATTTTTGGGACGAAAATTCAAAGTACTGCGGCTGCAGAAGAATTCTGGGAGTAAATTAAGCTTGATAAAAAGAAAAATGGGAAATACTATGCATCCGTAGAAGCATCCATTCCATTTTATATTAAATTTTTCCGATTTTTATTCGAGGTATGTATGCAAACGCGAAATTCTAGATCCCACTGCCACCCTCTTCGCAATATGTATTTATATCCAGCAATATTTATATCCATGCGCTTTCACACCGTCATAGCCTTTTTGAATTCACATCCATCCATCTACGAGAAAACTGTTTCATATCCTCCAAATTTTTCGTTTATGTTTTTTCATCCCAAAAACCTCTGTCAAAGTATTTTCAAGCAAACAAAGTACACAATTGTGTGAATTTTCAAAAAAAAAAAAACAAAGTTCATTGACAATTTTTCCCCCTAAAAAAAACGTATCGCTCTCCGCAATTTCCCTAGCTGCAGATGTAAACAAATGTCACGCATCGGTATTAACGGTTTCGGACGTATTGGCCGCCTAGTGCTGCGCGCCGCTATCGACGATTGCGCCTTCGTAGTGGCTATCAACGATCCCTTCATAAATCCCCACTACATGGCCTATCTCTTCAAGTACGACTCGACGCACGGCCGCTTCCCGGGCGAGGTGTCCGCCGAAGAGGATTTCCTCATCATCAATGGTACCAAAATACGCGTCTTCATGCAAATGGATCCGTCCACGATCAATTGGGCCATCGCCGGTGCTGAGTATATTGTGGAGTCAACTGGCGTGTTCTTAACCATGGAGAAAGCATCGGCTCACTTCATAGGCGGCGCACGCAAAGTCATCATCAGCGCACCCTCACCAGATGCGCCAATGCTGGTTGTGGGTGTGAATCTGGACATGTATAACCGTGATATGCGCATCGTTTCGAACGCTTCCTGCACGACCAATTGCCTAGCTCCGCTAGCCAAAGTCATACACGAGAATTTCGAGATCGTCGAGGGTCTGATGACCACCGTACATGCGTTCACAGCCACACAGAAGGTGGTGGATGGTCCAAGTGGCAAGCTTTGGCGCGATGGGCGCGGCGCTGCTCAAAATATTATACCCGCTTCAACGGGCGCAGCCAAGGCGGTTGGCAAAGTTATACCTGCCTTGAATGGCAAGCTGACGGGCATGGCGTTTCGTGTGCCAGTGGCGGATGTATCAGTGGTGGACTTGACGGTGCGCCTCAACAAACCGGCGCCCTACGACGCTATCAAAAGGAAGGTAATGGAAGCGGCCAACGGGTCGTTGAAGGGCATACTCAGCTACACGGATGAGGAGGTTGTCTCCACGGATTTTCTGCACGACACGCATTCGTGCACATTCGATGCGAAGGCGGGAATATCGCTGAATGATAAATTCGTGAAACTGGTCGCCTGGTACGACAATGAATGTGGCTATTCACGCCGCATCATTGATCTCATTCGGTTTATGCAGAAGAAGGACTAAATACCTAAAAACTAGGTGAAAAGGAGTTGACCTCTTGGCATTTGTATGGTGGTGGGCGTAGTTTTTGTGGTATTTCTCTTTGTGAGTTTTGGAATTTTAGTTACAAATAAATGGAAATGAAGCTGTAAGAATTTATGTTTTAATCAAGGCGCCAACAGCTTTAGAATCCCCAGCACGCTGTGGTAGATCTTGGTTGCAGCGCTGTCCGCCATGTGCATTTTTGGTTTTCATTTCCGCTAATAACGCTCCTAATTAAGCGCATTTGGTAGTCCAATGCTAATCGCCAACTTCCCGGAATCGCGAATCAACGCTGCTGTGTGAATGCAAACAAATTGAGTTCCTTAAATTTCACTTGCAGAAATGAATTAAAAAGTCAAAAACAGAAAAAAAAAACCTGCTGCCTCTTGCATCAACAACGCTGCATCGCCTTCTGCTTATTTACAAAATAAATCAATCAATTTGCATTTCCCGCATTTCTTGCTACCAAAGTTTTCGTTGGGGCTGAAAACAGCAGCTAAATACAAATATAAACGAAGCGGATTTGCATTATGCAGCGGTGGGGGGGCGGTGACTGGATGTTGGTTGTCCCTTTACAAGTAGTTGACTGCTTGCAGCTAATTTGCATCCAAACGAAGCCACAAGCAGGCGATCCACCAACAACAACAGCGACTAAGGCTGTTGACAGCAGCAATGATGGCCAGCATTGAACAGCTAAGCCAAGCCAAGCCAAGCCAAGCCAAGACGACGACGATCAACAGTCAAAATGGCAAATGAAATCGATTTGTGGATTATTTCATTACAGCGCGCATTGCCAACAATCGCGATGCAACAACAACAACACTAACAAGTACAAAACACTACATTGTCAATGTCACCAACATACATACATACATACATACATACATAAGTTGCATGCAATGCCAACAACAATAAAGCGCATAACTGGTCAACTGCCAAAGAGACAAACAGCCAAACAGCCAACTGCTACCATCTGCTTAAGCATTCTTCGTTCGTCACTCTGGCAGCTTCTGACCCGCTTTGGCTTTTTGCCTCAGCAGCTTAGCAGCGCAGTGGCTCAACTCAGCTCGTTAATGCCAAAAAACTCATTTGAATTTTAGTTTTCATTTAATTTAATTCAATTTAATTTAATTCGTTTTCATTTTGCATTTTGCTGCTTCTCCACTGCTTTTCTGCTGCACTGTGGGCTGCTATTTTTATTTTTTTTTTGTTGTGGTCTTCTCGCACATATTGTTTTTGTTGTCCGCTTCCTTTTTTCTGCTTAGCTGATTTTTCATTAGTTTTTTCGCCTTAAGTTGGGCATCGATAAGCGAGAATTTACGAATTACTGCATGGCTGGTGGAACGGATGGGGGCACAGATGGCTAAATGCCTTCGACGAATTTGCAAATGATATTAACGCATTGATGACATAATAGCGAGAGTGGTGGCAAGCGGGAACTAAGTACATACATACATACGTTAACGCATTTTGGGTGGCTGTCGTCATTCGACGCTTAAACAGGCAAATACTAATATTTTTCTATGGATGGCCAGATTATCACTTTTCCTACAAGTAGTCTTTTAGCCCCTGAATCAGCGGGGTTCTAATACATTCAGCCGTTTTGAAAGTTCAGAAGTACGAATTTGTAAAAACAATAAAAAAACTACAATCAATACTCAATCAACGTTGTGCCGTCCCCGCTGGGCGGTAAAAATAGAAATAAATTTAAATCAACCGAAAGACGTCAGCCGTAAAAACGCTGACGCCGCAATTATGAGCCGTTCCATATGCCTTCGTGAGTTTTAATTTTGACAGCGGTTAACCGTCGACTGCTTTACCATCGTCCGCTGCAATTCTGGGTAGAGCCTAAGAGAGGAACATTATTCGAGGGAAAAGAAAAAATTAATGAATCAGTTAATTACCATATTCCCATATTTTTCGATATAACAATTTTGACGCACTGGCAATTAACCGATTGAGTGAGTGCAAATAGCTTGAGACGCTGACCGACAGAAAGAGCGCGCAAGGTTTCCGTCAGAAGGTAGGACGACTTGAGGAAATTAGACCGAAGACCGAAGTGAAGTACACAAAAAAGAAACAAGAACGTCGATTTGGTGACTGTTGTCGAAAATATAATTATGGCATCCCTGCGAAACTAACATGGCTTTGTGAAATGAAGTGGAGGAATAGCTCCGTCAGAATTATGAAGGACTCCTTCGAGCCGTTCGATGGTAAACTAACAAGGAAAAGAATATTCATTCGCTGGATTTACTCTGAGGTCATCAGTGCCAGCTTATACAAAAAACCGAAGCATGTAGATCCTCGCTTTAGGTCTCCACAGAAAGACGTCTGACTAATCGAAAGATAAGATAGCGCTAGCCACCATTTGTTTCTATGTAAAGTGACGGAGATCTTTGTTGTCCTTGATCACTTTTTATGTATGGCTGATCGATTCAAATTGATTGTAATATATTTGTACTGTGCTGTCTCCAAAAAATGGCTGGAGAATGGCTTCTAATTCTTTATTCTAAATAATTCACATTCATTCATACCTCAGCATTGTTGAGCAATGTGGTAGTTTGGAATTTCAATAAATCACTTTAGGGAAGTTCTTTTAGGATCTTAGTAAGCGATAGCATACAATAAACCAAACTGGAAGTTGCCTTAGACGTGGCACACTTTTGGGCTCGCTCTTTGCTGCCAATGTGCATGCGGCCATGTTCTGAAGCCGATTTCCGCTGGGACATTAAACACCGTAGTTCTCAACTAGCCTATATAAACACGCGATATGTACAATTTTCCCACCAAAATTAATCTCAAGCTCTTTTAGTGGTACATGAAAAGCAAAAAAAAAGAGATATACATACTAATTGCAACAACGATTGATGATGGTATATGTGCTTGTAAAGAGCGCACTGACATTATTTATTAAAAGCATCAACTAAATGCACAGCCATACACCTTTAAATCGCTATGGGCAGCTTTTTAATTGCATGTATGACGATGTGTGTGTGTGTGTGTGTATGTACAAAGAAGCATCTAAGTGCTGATGAAAATACCAAAGGACACGACCGCGAACTGCAAATTCCACTCAACACTGTGACTATGTAGCATTTTGTTGTTGTTCGCGCAAGTGTTGCAGGTGCAAAATAGCAGGTCAAATGCAAAGTAGCAATAGCAACACCAACAAAATCAGCAGCAAAGCAACCAATAGCTTGTTAACATCCTTTCGCTACTTTTTTTGTGCACATCCCTCTCTGCGTTCGCTTGGCTGATTCACTGGTAGCCTCCTTTCGTCGTCGTCGTCGCCATCATCGTCGTCATTATGCGAAGACATCGTCTTATTTGCACGAATTTCGTTTTAGAAAATTAACAGCAATTAAAGCCAGCAAAGCGACGAGCTGGAGCTGGTGTACGGGGGCTGAAGGGAAGTGCAGGCACAGGCGTATTGCCAGCGGATGCGAAACATCCGGTTCGATAGCAAAAAGACGCCGTAACTTACCGCTGAAAGATTAATGTGCGCATGTTGGTGTTCATGTACATATGTATGTATGTATGTACGTATGTGCGCGCTAGTAGTCGACTGCAGTGGCTTTTGTGGCGTGCAACTTCCGTTGGACCAACGAAGCGCACAAACGTCCATTTCGGCGGCGTGCAGGCAAAGCATTTCAAACACTTTTACCATCTTTCCTTTGTATCTTACCTATCGGCATGCACCTTACCTTCCTGGGCACTGCTATCATCTTAGCCTACAGCTGCCAGCAATTACATACACATGTACATATGTATGTATCTTGCAACCTGTGCCTTTCATAAATTAGCTGCCATTTTCGTCGTGTGGCTGCGCTCAGCTTCTTCGCCACAATTCGCAGTAATTCGTCAAATCACAGACGTGTAGTTGTTGCTGGTGCACTATAGTTATACTAGGTCAGCATTGGTGGCAATTAGGCAGCACTTGCCGCCGCCGCAGGACAGCACACTGCCAAGAAATTTTCTCACACAACTTGGAACTTTGTTGGCTGCGCTTGCGAGGCACCTTTGCCTTGCCGGTGTTAATAATGGTGACTCGTGGACTTCCACAGAGGCTGTGGCGCTGGTGATGATGCAGCAATGAGGTTGTAAGTGCAAAGTTCTAAAATCGCTGGCGCTGATTGCGCTGCTGCTGGTGCTGCTAATTGTGCTGATGTACTGTAGCTAGCTGGGGTCCCGCCCTTTGACCTCCATCGCTGAATGCTGCACCATCATCAACATTTGCACTTGCAATTTATGCGAAAATTTAATAAGGACACCAACAAGCAGCAGCCCAATTAGCGAACGGTGGAAAGGAGGTCCACTAACAAGCTGGTCGCCATCAAACTATGTCCTTAGAAAATGGTTTAATGAGTGAGCAAGTAGACTGGTAGTTGCGAAAATAGGTCAAGTTTTAATGCAGTTAATTTTCAGCGAGAGAACACCAGCTGCACTTAATAAAGTGAAACATCCTGCAGCTAATAAAATATTCTACAACCAGGCATTTCTGAAGCGATTCTTTATAGTGAAAATTGTATCATCTCAATAAGCCTCTTGTTCTATAATATCAAGGTTTTGCCCTGCTGCACGCCTGCAAGTATGCAACGGCATGTTATTATATAATTAAACTTTGCTCATAATTGTGGGGGGAGAGGAAGCAAATATGCGTTGGCAGGAAGCAGAAACTGAGCATGTAAGACGGACGTGACTCGCATCCAAATTGCGATGTGGTTGCGTGTAAGTCTACTGATGTTTCAGAAGCCTCAGCAGTGGTTGACTGAGTAGTAAAAATGTGACTTTCGATAAGCTGGCCTATTTAACTAGTGCTGGAACGTCATTAGTTTATGCAGTACATTATTCATGTTAGGCTCTGCAATGTTTTTAAGATAAGGACAACAGTTTTGTACTTGGCAGAAGGATTTTTTGAGAAATACCTCAGGCTGCGTGGTACTCACAAGTCAAGGATACGCAAAATTTTACCTATACAAGGT